GTGAGTTTGTTTTTAATAAAGAATGATATGGAACAGGCTTGGGGTATCAAATAGAACATAGGATTAGTAGCTGATTTGGAACTAAATCTTTTATAATTGAAGTCGAATCAGACAATCAGTATCCAGATTGCCCAACCAGAAGGAATTTAGGTGGTTATGCTTTATTTAGCAGAACTACCTACTAACTATACTACTTCTGTTTCTGAATATTCTGTTCACAGGAATTATCAAACATATAGAACCACAGAAAGCTGTTATAACTGTTTGCAAATGGTTAAAATAAGTGAGGTGAAACCAGACCACAGTAAAAGACCTGTTTTCTCCCAAAACTTTTTATTGTGAATTAGGGCGAGTTTATCAGAGCACCATTTTTCCATCCAGCAATTTAAGCAGCTTATCAAACCACCCAATGGCTTGCCTGTGCTCTCTACCCCCTTGTAGTAAATATATTACCCTTCACCCAAGTTAATACCTATTCTCTGGCTTATTACTCCCTCTTCCCTTCCCTTCCAGTCCCATCCACGATGAACCATCAAAGTCTATGAAAATTTTCTTAAAAAAAAAAAATTATAACAGTGGTTCTCATAAATATTTGCTCTTTTGGGTTTAACTAACTTCACTCTACATAATGTCCTCCAAATCCATTCATGCTATGAGGTGCTTCAGAGTTTCATCTTATTCCTCAATGGTCTGTAGTATATTATCGTGTGTATGTACCAACGTTTGTTTATTCATTCTTCCACCAGTAAGCATTTAAGTGGTTTCCATCTTTTTGCTATTTGTGAATAGTGCTGCTATGAACATGAGTTTGCATATATCTATGTTATATTTTTTAGCACTTCTGTAGGATATATACCAAGTACAACCATTGCTCAGTTATTATCAACTGTGTGAGGAAGCACGATACCACTTTCCACAGTGGTTGTATTGTTTTACAGCCCCACCAGCAGGTGGGGTTCCAGATATATACCAAGTACAACCATTGCTCAGTTATTATCAATTGTGTGAGGAAGCACGATACCACTTTCCACAGTGGTTGTATTGTTTTACAGCCCCACCAGCAGGTGGGGTTCCAGTCTCTCCATACCCAGTCCAGCATTTGTTGTTACTGCTTTCTTGAACTTTGCTATCAATTCTGGGGTGAGATGGTTTCTCATCATTGTTTTGATTTGTCTCTCTCATATGACTAGTGATCATGAGCATTTCTCCATGTTTGTTGGTCACCTACCTGGATGTCTTTTTTAGTGAACTGCCTGTTCATATCTTCTGCACATTTTAAAATTAGGCTATTTATCTTTTTCTTGTTGAAGTTTTTTT